TTTTTTTTTTTTTTTTTTTTTTTTTTTTTTTTTTTTTTATTTGGGAAGGTATGGATATTCACCTCTTGCACTGATTCCTGAGAGGAATTGTTCTGAGGGACAAAACTTTTTTTTTTTTTTTTTTTTTTTTTTTGCAAAAGAAAAGACGGCCTATTGTCTTGTCCCCCAGAACAATTCCTCTAGGAAATTTATGCAAGGGGTTTTGTAACCCGTGGAGCAATTATGGATTAACTTTAAAACATTTTTACTACTATATGTGTATGTTGCTTTTTCATTTATATCAAGTGTTTTTGATACATGTTATCAGGTGTTTGGCGGAAACGGTTTTAATACTGAATATCCTGTGGAGAAACTAATGCGAGATGCCAAGATATACCAGGTAAACGACGAGTACTCTACATTTCTTTTGTTGTCTTTATTTCTCTTTGTTTCATCCTTTCTTTTCATCCTTCCTACCTTTTTCTTCCTTCTCTTCCTTCCTTGCATCCTTCCTTCCTTCCTTCCTCCCTTGCTTCCTTGCTTCCTTGCTTTCTTCATACTTTCATTCCTTCCTTCCTTCCTTGCTTTCTTATATCCATCCTTCCTTCCATCCTTCCTTCCTTCCTTTTTTTTTATACTTTCATTCCTTCCTTCCTTCCTTCCTTCCTTCTTTCTTTTTATACTTTCATAACCTCCATTTCCTATTCTCCACTTTGCCTCGCAGATTTACGAAGGAACCGCTCAGATCCAGAGGATGATCATCGGACGAGAACTCATCGATCGAGCAAAAATGACCAACTACTAATCACCAGCCACAGATGACAATACTTTAATCTTCATCTATTGTTCCCCAAAAACCGATTTCATATTATCACTACTAAGCTTTCATGGGCAAAAAGAGCGAAACAAGTAATGAACTAATAGATGACAGACTTTGAAGGTGTATTTATATTTTATACATTAAACCAGTAAAAAAACCGAGACAAGAGTACATGCTGCCTTTTTGCTTGCCAGTATTTTGAACGACTTGCTTCAGGCAACAGATTTGGTCTTTCTTCGGTCCTCACACTCTTCGTCGTTTGTTTTGCACCGAGAAACGAAAACTATGAGGGGCTGTATATTTTTGGAACCCCTTTCAATACCAGCATGCATTGCATGTGGGTCGAATTCTTAACATGTTACTTGTGTCGTTAATAAAATGTTAATGATAAAAGTTAGTTAAGTTATGTTGGGTTTGTGCTCACATCTTGCTCCTCACATGAAACGTTATTGTGCGATAAGCATCGCATGTTGCAGGTGTAGCGCTTTGCGCATTAATTTTCTTTCTTAAGAGCTGTTCAGTTTACTTTTTAAAAAATCCCTAATTCGATTCCTTATTTTTTCCTACGCACCAAAAGAAACCTACAAACGACGCTGAAAAACATTTGCATACCCAAAAAACGTTTGCAAGCATACCCAAAAAAGTCAGACAAAAACATTTGGAGAGATTAACAATGAATGCTAATTAGAGATCTTTAGCAATGCAACATCATGGATAGAGTGCTCACACTAAATCCGTGAAGCAAATGCTAATAAACACTAAATAGTGATAAATAAACAGAAAACAAAGATTTCTGTGTAAAATAGTACAAATCAGTACTATTTAATGTTCACGGTTTTAGTGCGTGCATTCTACAACACGGACACGAATATTGTATAGGTTAGTTCCTTTGTGTTTCACTAAAATTTTCAAGATAAAAGTGAATCTGGCTAAGAACATCCAAGTTGAAGTTTATTCAAATAACCATGATTCTGCATCAGAATTATAAGACTCGGACATGCGGAGTACGTTAATTAGATGCACGCTGTGACCGGCGACCCGTGGTATCATCCACTGTTTTTAATACGAGTTTGGCATTCTAAACCGACTGCATGGATGGCGCATTACCGTCTCAGCTTCTATGTTCTATGTTTCTCAACCCGACAACGATTATTCAATTGAGTGTATAACTTAAATGAATTTATCTTGGCAAAAGTAGACTTAAAAAGTAAGTTAGAAAACTAGGCGAAGCTAGAAGAAAGGAATCATATCAAAATATTAATCCTCTTTCTTGCTATTTATTGTAATTCCAACAGAGGCTATGATTCTTTATTTATTCGTCATAATCTTTGTGGTGGTCATATTTCTCGCCATGTTTATGTGGCGGCTACAAACACTGAATCCATGTGAGTATTGCAATACGATTGCTTCAATATCAATAAAAATAAATTATCACTCCATCTGGCCAGAGTTAATATAGGGGCCTATATTAACTCTGATCTGGCCAAATATTGTCGAATCTTCTAAAGATATTAAGGAATGAATAATTATATTTTTTCCTGCCTTTTAAGTTTGCTAAGTCGCTACAAATTCTGTTGACATTGATTGTAAACAAAAACTAAATTTCTTGCTATTTATATCTATTTAGAAAACTCATTAATAATTCATGAAGAAAACACAATAGAAATCATGACCATGAAGGTGATTTTATATC